GGAGGTCCCTCTAACAATGTTATCTCAAGAGATTCATCGAAACCAATTTTCTCTTCGTATCTAAACTGAAGTGTTTTTAAATCTAAAATTGTCAACAAACTCGGGTTGTTGCATACACACGCAACTACGCATCCACGAAGCTGTAACAAGACCCAGGACTACTGGATCATACTCTAGTTTATTTACATACACAAAAGGTGGGGCCACATCCGCTTCCCCGCACGCATCACTTTGATTCACTTACATGCACGTAGGACAACCAAATCATGGAACGCCTCATAAATATCGCAACTTGAGGTATAGGAAGTAAGTAGGAGCTCAGCTCGCTACCTCTCTCAGTTTAGTGTTTTTGGTGATTTTTTCGTCAATGCTCGTTTCTGGTTCTGACGATTTCGGTACCATGACGGACTAAAGCTCAGCACAGAGTCATCGGGGTCGTAGGGCCGTGAGCGGAGGCTTTCTTCGCTCAGTTCAAAAGACAAAAGTCCAAGGCAACCCTCCTGCGATATCTAGTGAGGCCAATCTACGAATCCCTTCCACCCGCCTTCCCAAACGAAATGAAAGGTACGCTAGTATCAATAAAAACATATACCGCCACGAATTTTTTCATCATGCACTTTTATACCAAATGAACCGTATTAGCAGTGCCAACTTGACAATAATATTGATACAGAGTTTACTTGCTACCACGTGATTACCTTATCCGATATTCCAATTATATAGTAGTTTACTTGCACAAGGCCTGAGTATGATTCAGTTGTCATGCGTATATTTTTTACTAAAATTTCTGATCTTGTTGAGTAGCGATTGAGGCTCTTCTCCATTCTTGTTGAAACCATATTTTCAGCGTATATGGCATATTCAGTCCTTTTCCCACCTTATTTAGACAGATCTATCAGTATCTCTTGAAGTTTTAGTTAACGAATGGCGGGCTTTTATCATTAATGTTATTCATCGATAGCATCGGCATCAAACCTTTAGTTTCGTTCCTTTTAAACATTGGTCTCAAAATTTTGCCACCTCGTTGTATGCCGTTTTGCTGAACAAACCTTGTTTTATTGTTTAAACCAATCCCCTTATTTCCTCAGATTTTCACCTACGCCCTCGAGTATCAGACCAAGTTTGGTAGGCTACCTCAACTTCCTACTGACCTTTCGGCCAAGCTGGCTGCTTTCAAGCGTGATCCGGACGCATTCATAGCCTCTGAGTGTGCCGTGGCTGCCTCACCCAACAGGTCCTGTCAACTGGAGACACTTGTTAGATTGCGAGACGTATTTCGTATCCACTATACCCGTTTTGAAGTCAGCCGAATGTACCGCGGCCTCGGACTATTCGCCTTGGGCTTGCTGCATCTCTTCGCCTTCTCGCCTTATCTGACATCTTGCCGGTTGTTTTTCCACTCATTCAGCTCGTGGCAAAAGCAAGTGAAGTTTATCTCTAAAGGGAGCAACGCCATGCATCATAATGCGAATGAGTTCGGGCCTGAAGCTGTGTCTGCCAATATGGGATCCCTTTTTGCCTCATTTCCCAATTTTCCACTGAAATTCCCTTTTTTGAATGATGGCAAAATGCGCCAATTAGCTTGTTGTCTTCTTTTGACATTTCTGATCACTACCTGTCTGCTGCCACTCTTTGCCGACCCGCTCCTGTTTAATTCAGACGCAGACAGAAGTGGAGCCAATAAAATGCCATACTTAATCACGGCTTTTATTGTTCTCTCGGCTTTGGCATCTTTAGCACTTTTCATCTTTCTTCTCGCTTGTAACATGCTCTCCAAAGTCCCTTATTCTGCTTCCACGACTGAAACATCAACGCTCAACTTTCTCCGATCATTTCCGTTTCGCCAATTACTTGATTGGCCTGCTGTCCTTCCTCTATCTGCCTGTTTGACTGGCGTCTGTCTAATCTACAGCTCAAATAGCTTTGTGGTTCGTGAGGCTACTGTACTGCATTTTTTTACACAATCCATACTTTTGACCACTGTCAGTCTTCCTGCAATCTATAAAAGTACTGCACGACTCTCTCGTGGTTACAGGCAAGGAATCGGATCAGCCTCCGGCCCTGGGCCAGAACTCGGCTCCAGATCTCGTCTGCAATTGGGATCGGAATCTATATCCTTTCTTTGGCCAAGAACCGTTATACGTTACGGAACACAGCGGATTCTATCTGCCTTTTATTATCTGCTTCCCTTTGGCCGCCTGCTCTTGCTTCATTTTGCGTTGCGAATCTGTCTTTTTCTTGAAGTCTGTCGAGAAGAGTCTCCGACCTCCAAGTCCGACTGTCGGCCGCCCAGCGACCCTTGGCTAGTTCGACCGCTCTCTAGCCTTTCTGTAGACAATGGATCAGATGAAAGCCAGCTACTGATGGTATAAAAATCAAGTTGAAAGGGGAGAGCCATGTATCTATTTTGCTGAAACCTATTTTTGCGTTCCTGTAAGAGGTCTATGTAGTCTTGAAACCCTAATTGTGGTCATTTTGGTGGGCACAATTTATAGTCT